GAGAGAGAGAGAGAGAGAGAGAGAGAGAGAGAGAGAGAGAGAGAGAGCTAGCTGAACTTGGAGGGAGGTGCCATGGATTCCAACTCCCATCGTACCACTTGTGCTGTGTGACCCCTGGCCAAGCATTTCTCCACCTGAGCTCCATTCTCCTCATCACTAAGAGAGGATAATGATACTGGCATCACCTGCCTCCCAGGTGTGTTGTGAGGTTCAAATAAGATAATATATGTAAAGTATTTTGTAAAATGAAAAATACTATGCAGAGGAAGGGATCACTAGTATAAAGCAGTGGGCAGGCCTGGGATTTTCTGGTGGGGCTCATTCACTTGGGTGAAATAGGAGAGCCACCAGAATCCGTACGTGGAATTAGTAGATGGTTCATCCGTGTCTGGCTCTGTACGCTTCGTGTGCACCTGCGGAGATTGAGCCGGCTCCTTTCATGGGATTTTTAATTAAAATGTTATTGGCTCGTCATGGTATATTATCAGTCAACAAATATCAAGCGACTGCAGTGAATGAAACATTAGGTATACAAATAGGAAATCGAGGTGATCTGTGCCCTGAAGGAGCAGACATTTTACTTAGGGAAAACAGCAGGTTCACTGATAATAACTCTAAGACGTATAAAAACAAATGCCCAGTGATCTGGGGGAGGGGAGTCAGGAAAGGTCTCTTGAAGGAGGTGGTGCTTGAGCTGAGCCTTGGAGGGTGTTATGGATGCAAGAATCAGAGGGCAAGAGCCAGGCACAGGACACCGCCTGCACAAAGGATTAGGAAGAGCTGGGAGTCCAGTTTGGCTAAACTCTAGAGTGCACGAGAGGGAATAATGTGTAACGCGCCTGGAAAAGTATGCCGCAGTGAGATTGTTACTCTGTTGTCCTTGTCAAAGTCCTTTAGTTGCAGGACGTCTTGTGTGACCTCTTTTGCCCTGTTTACTGGGATCCCTTGAGGTCACTCAGTCTGATATTTCCATCTTTCTGGGGACTCAAAATGTGGACAGTGTAGGAGATTAACATGTACCAGCCAAAGAGGTTCTCAAAGAAAGCCTAACACAGAGGAGGAAATTGAGGCCCAGAAGGAAATCATCCAGCCAGTGTGTTGGAGCCAGGGCTGAAATCCAGACCCTTGTAGGTCAAGCGCTGGTACGCTCCCTTTTTGTTAAGTCATTGCTGCCTCAGATAGGCTGATGGAAGGGCAACACCCCACCTGATGCCATTTATTTCTTCCTCAAAAACACCATATTGGATGAACAGCTTTATGCGGGGGTAGTTAATTTCATAAGAACAGTATGATAATTTGCATCTCAGCTGAACAGACATTTTACTGTGGCCCTTCAAAAGGATGGTGGGACTCAACTTATGGTGCTCTTTAAGCATTTTTCTCAGGGTTCTACTGGGCCCCATTGGGCAGCACCAGGAGTAACGAGTAGAAGCAGTGAAGATGCATATTATACTAGAGGGAAGGAAGAACCCCCCAACACATCGTGCTGTCCCAGTGTAGGTTGGGTTGCCTGTTCCTGAAGGTCTTCTGGCAAAGGCTGGATGACTACTTGTTGGGAAGGTCTCACAGGGGATCCTTTTCCAGGTATATATTTGATTTTTTTTGTTGCTGTTGTTGTTTTTGCTTGGGCAGTGGGGGTTAAGTGACTTGCCCAGGGTCACAAAGCTAGTAAGTATTATGTGTCTGAGGCTGGATTTGAACTCAGGTCCTCCTGAATCCAGGGCCAGTGCTCTATCCACTGTGCCACCTAGCTGCCCCCCCAGGTATATACTTGACCAGATACCTCTGAGGTCTCTTCTGGCTCTGAGGTTCTGCCATTCACGATGCTTCGTCATAGGCTGGTTACGAGAATGCACCAGTGATGGTGACAAAGAAATGGCCCTTGTCTGGTCCTGCCACTCAAGATTTAAACTGGGTGAGCAAAATCAGGGACATTTTGATTTTTTTGTATCTTCCCTGATGAATGGATTGTTCTGCACACATTGAATGCTTAATAAGTATTTGGTATTGAATTGAATTTGTATAAACAGGTTTTGAAAGAGGTACCCCCTGTAAGGGTTTATTTAATCCCTTTTCACAAGTCCTAGGGCAGTGGCTTGTTAAAAAGAAATCTTGATCTCAGAGCTCCATTTCCTCCATTCTCCAACTCATCTTTTTATGTTTTTAAAAAAATGTCTTTTTTTTTAATCATTTAGGTTACACTGGAGCATATCCAAAGCCATCTTCCATTCCTTATAAATTTCGGACCATAATAATCCCGGACTCAGAAAGAAAAGGATTTAACAGTCAAAGCAAAAGATTTTATTGTAAACTGGTAATGATGCTATTTTTGATTTTTCCTACTTTTATTCAGGATTTTAGCATGATCAGCTTATGTCATGGGAGCTATTCCGGTATCCTTAAACACGTCCGTGCATCTCTGTGGGCCTCAGTCACTTTATCTGTAAAGTGAAGGTGTTAATGGTCAGAGGATATTTAAAGTCCCTCCCAGCTCTGACTTACTGTATTCTAAGATCTTTCTCAGTTCAGACGGCCTATGTTCTAACCTTCTGTGTTCTAACTTTCTCTGTTCTAAGGTCCCTTCCAATCCTAAGCCTTCTAGCTGTGATATTATATGTTCTAACATTCAACATTCCAAGATAACATTCAGCTCCAAAATTTTAAAATTCTACAAACAAATTCTTTATTACTACTTGGATCTTGAAGCTAAAATAATAACAATAGTTAACCTTTATAAAGCCAATTAAAGTGTATATAAATACATACATGTAACATATTTAGTATAGTTGTCTAGAAAATGTATATTATAGATATAAAATATAAATAAATGCAAATACATATACACACTCATTTAAATATTTTCCATTTAACTGTTTGTCCTTTGTTTTGAACACCAGAGGGCAGTGTACTCCATGTAGCTGTGAGTATGCTTTTTTAAAGGTTTCATTTTTTTTTTTTTATAAAGTGAGATAGAAATGTCTTAAATCTTGGGAAAGATAATCTTCTGTTCTATCTACTCTGTTGTCCAAAGTGGCACTGGCCCATAGTTTTTGTTGCTGGGGAGGGTGAGGCCACGGATCGCTTGAGTTTAGGAGTTCTGAGCTGTAGCAGGCTTGAGTCTAACACCGTACCTTCTATGCCAATCACTATTGGCCTCAGGCTGCTGTAATTGCACCCTGGCAAGACAGGGAGACCCCATCTCCAGAAACACACGCAAACAAATAGGAAAAAAAACCCTAAAGACAAAAAAAGAAAAAGACAAGGTCTGAGAAAATGGGGATGACCCTTTTGGGGATGAAAGTCCTTATCTACATTTTGCATATTTTGTCATTTATATACTATTTTATATCTTCTCATCATTTTATGTTATTGTTCTTCTCCAGCTACCTATATCTGTCTCTTTCCGATCTCCCGTCTTTCCTTGACGTTTCCCCTTCAGGATGCTGCCAGTCATTTAATATGATACAGTGGAAAGAGCCATTGATGGAAAGGAAGAATATGGAAAACCTGAGTTCTGCTTCCTGGTCTTCCACTGTCTGTGTGGCCTTAGTCAATTAAATTCCCCTTCTCTGGGCTTCAGTTTTCTCATTTTTAAATGGGGGTGGGGGTGGGGTCATAATGCTCTTTAAAGTCTAATCTGCTTTCTGAAGTCCCACCTAGCTTTAAGATGCTGTGACCTTGAAATACAGTGGAAAGAAAAATTTGATTTGGAGTGAAATTACCTGGGTTCAAATCCTAGCCTTGCCACTAAATAACTCTGGGCCCTCGGGCACTTTTTATTTAACCTCTTAATGCTTTGTGTAAGTCTTGAAGGCTAGGTGGGTTACAGAGGAGATGCCTGCTTTGCATCTGACCCTGGTAGCTCTCCATCCTGATGAAATCACCCGCTTGTCTGGAGAAATCTTAGAAAAACTGACATTTTTTAGTCTTTGGGTTCTCTGTTCAGTTAATCTCTTTTCAGTAAATCTTCCCCGTTCTTAACAGTTTTCATAACTATTGTTTTATCACATATTTTGAGATCTGGTGGTGCCTAACTTTCCTCCAGTTTTATTTTTCATTGTTTTTGATGTTCTTGGCCATCTCTTTAAAAATGTGAATTTTGTTATACGACTTGGTTGGATTCCATTACAATCACCTATTGGTATGTTATTATTTTTGACTCAACCTAGCCTCGAACAGGGGATATCCCTCTGTTCATTTCCCTGTTGATTTCTGCGAGAAGCTTTGAGGTTGTCCTTGTATAGGTCTCTTGTGCATCATGGTAAGTTAATGCCCAATATGTGATATATTTTATCATTTTTTCAGGGTATTTATCAGTTTTTCTTGGTTTTTGGTGGTGTTATTTGAAAACACAGGTGATTTTTATCCTTATCTCACTACTTCAATAAAGTCATCCATTATCTCCATTTCTTTTTTTTTCCATTTACTCTTTTGGGTCACAGCTATGCCCAGAGCAGGTTGACTGGCCTACTTCAATGGTGGCCCTATGCCACCCTTCTCCTTCTGACTCCCTTTGCCTCTAATTCCAGGCTTTAGGACCACTATATTTCACTGATACTTGATCATCCAAAAAAAAGGAACTTCACTGATTTTGTCAGTAGGGGGCAGCAAGAAAGCGAGGAAATTCTGGGAAATCCGCTTTAGATCTGGAAGGGACCTCAGAGCGCATTAAGTCCAACTCTCCTCTTTTTACAGAGGAGGAAACTGAGGCCCTTTCTCTACTTCTTTTTTTCTCCTGCAGGAGCTACTCCCCATGAAAAGTCTCTTTATTTCCTATCTTTTTGCCATGTTGGGGGTAGGAATCACCATTTTATTTATGCCCTCCCCTCCTCCCCAGATGACTTCTGATCCCTCATTAACATGTTTTACTTTTACAACCATCATCCTGCTAAGATTATTGGGTCAGTAGTCAAGACCCCAGTCCCAGCTGTTCCTTAAGAATAATTGTGTGGCCTTGAACAACTTATTTTTCCTAAACTTTTCCTTTCCAGGTCATCGTTTTCTCATGTGCAAGATGAAGGGTGACCCCCAAATGTTTTCCAGCCCCAGTATTTTGTGTTCTAAGGGCTACGCCCCTCCTCAGCTTTAAGAAAATTTGTTTTAAGGTCCTTTTTATCTTTCTGATGTACTATGTCTTAACTAGGGCCATCGTTAGGAATTCTGACATATAGGACAAGTTCATTTGGGGAGGAGGGAGTGCAGAGTTCCCCAGGTCAGTACTATGGTGCTTTGGTTGGGATACCCTTGGGAAGGACAAAGAGAAGGGTGTATGAGTCATGGTGGGGTACAAAGAGGTCAGCCTGCTTTCAGTAACATGCCTGGAAGGGTGAGGTGAATACTAGGAGTCTTAGCAGTGGAAGGTGGAATATAGGAAAGAGGGGCGGGACCTTTGTGGTGCCATTTGGTATGGGACCAAGGGCAGATAGGTGGCACCATAGTGCACAGAGTGTTAGGCCTGACTCCAGGCATTCATGAGTTCTTCATGAATTCCAGAACTTTGTGAGTTCAAATCCAGCCTCAGACATTTACTAGCTGAGTGAAAACAAAAGAAATAATCGAGCAAAACAGATTCCTTCATTGGCCGTGTCCAACAACATATGTCTTGTTCTTCACCAAATCCATCATCTTTACGTCGGGAGATGGGTGACAGGTGTTCTGGACTCAGTGTTCTGGAATCGTGGGAGTTCACTGCATGGTTCAGACTTTGTGAAGTCTGTTAAAGTTGAATTCTTTTTCTTTGAATGTTATTGTAGAAACTATTCTCTTGGTTCTGCCCACTTCACTCTGTATCATTTCATACAAGTCTCCACAGGTTTCTCTGAAACCATCCCTTCTGTCATTTCTTACAGACAAGTGTGTTCCATTCCCACAATTTGTTCAGCTGTCCCAACTGATTAGCCCTCCCTTTCTGTGTCCTAAGATCCTGTCCAGCTCCAGTGTTCTACGTTCTAGCATTCTGTGTTCTGTGTTCCCTTATAACTTGAAAATGCAGTGTTCTTAGGTCCCTTCCTGCTCTAACATTCTGTGAATTTAAGATATCAAAACTATATTAAATTTCTTTATTACCTACATGTTTTGCTAAAATCAATCAAAATGAAGAAATCGATTCCCTAGTTTCCATTTTTCATCCCCTGCCTGCCTTCTTGCTAAAGTCATATGTTTGGTAATACTTTACATTTGAACAGTGCTTCATGGTCTGCAAAGTGCTTTGATATTTTTGCCTTATTTGATCTTACTAGAAGGACTGTGAAGTTGAGAGATGGGGTGTTATTATCCCCATTTTACAGATGATAAACTCAAGGCCAAAGAGCTGAAGTGGTTTTCTGGGAGTTGCCCAGCTAATAGTGGGCAAAGCCAGGACTCAAATGCTGGGCTTTTGACCCTCAGGCTAGTGCTCTATGCACTAAAACTGATTGCTCTTCTGTGCTTTTGGATTCCCAGGAGATGCACAGCAGCTTACCTTCCCTGGTCTATGGAGCCCTCACCCATCCTGCAAGGTTGGTGTGAGAAGAAAACTAAACAAAAGAAGACAAGTACTCAAAGAGAAGCTGCTGCCAGCTCCCCTGGCCTTCTTTCTGGGCATTTTCCAGGAGTCCCAGGTGATGAGCTTCTGAATTCTCAAATCTGGACACTGGAGGGCCTGAGATTTCAAGTTATCTCCTAAAAGTACTCTGGCTACTCAGAAGATTTCCTGCTGAAGTCGACCCACATGGACGTGAGCCAAACCACAGGTGATAGCGAGGTTAGAGAGGGGAGGAAGTCAGGATTTTCACAAGCGTCTAGCTTCTAAGGCATTTCAGATCTGCCACTAACTACCTGTGTGACCTTGGACAAGTCACCTTCCCCTTTGGAGCCTCAGTCTCCACATTTGTAAAATAAGGGAGTTGCCTTAAATTTTTTGTGTCATGGAACCTTTGGGCAGCCTATGAATCCCTTCTCAGAATGATGGTTTTAAATGCATAAAATGAAATATATAGGATTACAAAGGAAACCAATGGTTAGGGAAAATAAAGATTTTTTTTTCCCATCCAAGTTCACAGACCCCCTGAAAAGTCTCCATGAACCCAGGTTAAGAACCCTTGAATTTGATTATCTCTAGTCCTTTTAGCTCTTTTAATCTACGTTCTAATGTTCAAAGTTCTTTTGGCTCTGTCGTTCTGTGTTCTAAGTGGCTTCTCTGTTCCAAGGTCCCTTCTAGCTCTGACAGACAGTATGTTTTTAAAGTCCCCCCAGCTCATTCATAGATAAGCAGCTGGAGGGAACCCAGAGGCAATGTTCAATGTCTTTCTTTTCTCTTTCCTTTTTTTTTTAAGC